TAAACGGTGTTTGGAGACCGGCCGCACTGTTGCTTTGGTAAGCCGTCTTATCTTTGCACTCGAACTTTGCAAGGTAGAACCGAAGAACCTTAGTAAGGCAGAGCCTCTCAAGGTTGAGGTACTCATTACCTCGTTGTAGTCATCGAGGTAGGTACGTTGGGTACATCTCTAGGAACCCTTGGGGATGTTGAAATGCAATTCCCGTTTCTCATTCATCCATTTTCAACATGGAGATTAAACAATCAACCATTACGGTTCTCATGAGATGTTAGCACAAGCAAAAGTCAAGGGTCATCCAAAGACGGCTCTCAGGGTGAACCACAGTCTGAACAAACCGCAGCACAGTGTGCCGAGGGCCGAATGACCAGCGCCCCGAATCCCACTCCAAAATGTCCGGTGCACGCGACTACCCAGGAATGGCCGGCCTGTCGGGCGCACCGCTTCACTCCAAGTCCATTTGGCAGGGGGTTTTCTCAAGGGCACGATTCAATCTGCGGTGATTTTTTTTTTCTCGTTTCCTCCTCAGTGGGTTGCGCTACGCCGTTTACTGCTGCAAGCATGTGAAGCCATCTCCGGCCGTCCCGCCAGTTCCATGTCCTTCTCAGGCGTGGCTCCTCTTCTCTGCACGCGCCGGGTGGGTTCGACCGGTGGATGCACTTCATCCCGTCTCTCCGCTGCCGAGCTGCCTTATGTAGGCTGCCTGTACTCGGTACGTGCACAAAGTGTCAAAAGACATGCCATTCTGCGTCTTCCTTGTTTTCCAGACCGCTCAACTGCAAAAACGGGCTGAAAGTTTTGGGCGAGATGTCAAGGCGAGTGGCTGAGGACGGTTGGGGGTCAATCGGGATGATATCACTGGCTTTGTCCGTGGGCGGTCGGACAGAGACATGGCGCCAAGGAGGCCTCGAATGCTGTCACCGCCCCACGTGAGCACACCCACTCACTTCTCGGTCGATAAGAGAGAAGATAAGATAAGACAGCACTTGATGCCGTATCGATAACGATAACGAAAAAAGTTTCTGGAAATCAAGCCCCTCCAGCTCGGACGGCCTCATTGAAGTCGCATGCAGCGCAAATCCTCGGTGTGCCTGACATCCTTTCGATATTTGTCCCAGACCAATTGAACCATGGCGCCCGAAGAGAAGAAGAAGGACCCTAGGGCCTGGAGAGGCCTCACCCCTCCCTTGGCTGAGTACGATCCCGTGTCACTGCTTCTACTTGCGCATCCAACTAATATTCGCCCAGATGGATCCTCGACTTCGTGTCCAGCCAAGGCTTCCAGCGCATGACGCCCGTACAAGCAGCTTGTCTGCCGCAGTTCCTCGGAAACAAGGATGTTGTAGTCGAGGTAAGGACAAAACTGACCATACTAGCAGCTTGGAATACTGACTATCCCAGGCTGTCACCGGCAGTGGTAAAACGCTCGCCTTCCTCCTCCCGATCGTACAAAAGCTCATGCGCCTCTCCGAACCGACGAAGCGCGGCCATGTCTTCTCCATCATCGTCTCCCCGACCCGCGAACTTGCCATCCAGATCCATGCCGTTCTCCAGTCCCTCGCCGGCTTCCACCCCCCGTCCGCCGAGATACTGCCCCACCTCAAAGAAGACGAAAAGCGCCCCGACACGACGGTGCCGGTCGTCGTTCCTCAGCTGCTCGTCGGCGGAGTGACCACCACACAGCAAGATCTCAGCTACTTCGTCAGACATGCGCCCAATATCTTGGTCTCGACACCGGGAAGACTTGTTGAGCTTCTCGCGTCTCCGCATGTCCACTGCACATCTTCCACTTTCGAAATGCTGGTTCTCGACGAGGCGGATCGTCTGCTGGATATGGGTTTCAAGCAGGATATTCAGAGGATTCTGGGATACTTGCCGAAGCAGAGGAGAACAGGCTTGTTCAGTGCTTCAGTCTCAGAGGCAGTGTCACAGATTATCACCGTCGGTCTGAGGAACCCGGTCAAGATTGCCGTACGCGTGAAGAGTTTGAGGGATGGAGGAATCATTGAGGATCGGAAAACACCAATCAGTCTGCAAATGTCTTACCTGGTTACACCAGCGAGCCAGAAGCTCCCGGCGCTCAGCAAGATTCTCGAGAACCTCAATCCACGACCACAGCGCAGCATCGTCTTCTTGTCTTCTTGCGCTGCCGTCGACTATTTCCAGCACGTTCTGCCCACCATCATGCCGGAAGGCTTCACACTCGTTCCCCTACACGGAAAACTCCCCCCCAAGGCAAGAGAGAAGAGTTTCAACAAGTTTGTCAACTCGGTTTCGCCATCCGTATTGCTGTGCACAGATATTGCAGCGAGAGGTCTCGATATTCCACAAGTAGACTTTGTCTGCCAGGTTGATCCTCCTTCAGATCCCAAGGTCTTCATCCACAGGAGTGGACGTGCCGGAAGAGCAGGCAGAAAGGGATTGTCAGTCGTCTTCCTGCAGCCCGGTCACGAGGAAGACTACATTCCTTTCCTCGAAGTCCGCAAGACACCCATCTTCCCCCTGACGAAACCCGAAATCACCATCACCGAAGAGGAAGCCAACGAGGCGTCAGAAAAGTTCCGCGACGTCCTCCGCAGCGACCGCGCCTATCACGACAAGGCGCAACGAGCCTTTGTGAGCTGGGTGCGCAGCTACAACGCTCACCTGACGACCTCCATCTTCCGCGTCAAGGACCTCGACTGGGCCGACCTCGGAAAAGCATGGGGTCTCCTCCGTCTGCCGCGCATGCCCGAGACGAAGAACTGGGAGGGAGACAAGTGGCTCGGCAATGAGGACTTTGACTGGGAGAACTTCACCTACAAGGACAAGACGAGGGAGGCAGCGAGATTAGCAGCGGCAGAGGCGGAGCGCAACGGCGAGAAGGCGGCTGCCGCGGACGAGGTGAAGCGCAAGCGCAAGACCAACGAGGCGTGGAGCAAGCAGACGGAGAGGGACGATGTGAGGGTGGAACGCCGCGATAAGAGGAGACGCAAGAGGGAGGCCGAGCGGATGTCGACCATGACGGAAGAGGAGAAGATCAAGGCGATGGAGCTGAATGAGATGATTGCGGAGATTAGGAAAAAGAACCAGGCCAAGGCGGCAGCTGGCGGGAAGGACGATGAGTTTGAGGGGTTCGATGATTAAGAAGCGTCTGTTGTAATACTATCTAACCATGTCGTTGAAATCTGTCCGGGGGATTTCCGGCTCACGGCTCAACGGGTGGAGGAAGTGGGGGCGATACCCCCGGCGAACGCTTTTTTGGCCTCACACGATGCGATCTCACGAGACCCTCTCTTCCGTCCGCCCCATCCCGTCTCCGTCCTCGTCGCCAACCCTTTCGGCTTTGAGTTCTACGTTTCCACAGCGGAGATGAGGCCAAAAAAGAATTCACACGAGAATGACTCACTCCCCACACCTGCCCTTCTTGAACAGAAACAGTGAGGGGGTCGTCATCAACAAGCACTAATACAAGCACAATAGCTCAGGGGTAGAGCGCTGGGCTCATAACCCAGAGGTCCCTGGATCGAAACCAGGTTGTGCTATGAAATCTTTTGCTTTTTCGGGGTTATGAATTCCATATGTTCTAGGTACAAGTACATGTGTTTCTTTTGCCATTCTCACCTATCTTCACTCCGTTCTATAGAATCGCCGCTTGTATGGTTCAAATACAAAAGTACAATGACGAGCGAATGTGGGCCACGTCCTTCATATCTACATCTGGCGGAGGAGATGGTCCACATGTTTAAAGGTATCTTGCACCTTGCTTCCCATAATTTAAGCATGATGGCCTCCCAAGTGGCATGTGATAAAGGCATCAGCTGGCCAGCTCTGTCGAGAGGGAGGCTCGTCACTGGGATACCTGTTCATTTCTGTTTCGAAGGCAACGATCGTCCGAGATCTCCAGATGGAGCTAGGTGCTGGCCATTGTGGTTGCTCGTAATGAAGAGAGTGGTTTTGAGCGATCGTGTGACGTCGGTGTAATGGGATTATAGCTGGTTCGTCTCATATTAGCATGAATTAAGTCAGGGCATCGGGTTCCTGCTGTTCTTACCGTGCCTCGGCTTTTGTCCCTTGCGAATGCAAGTTTTCCAGAGGATAAAACATGTAGGTGGTAACCCTACAAACAGGGCTACAATACCAATAATGGCTTCGAGGGTCATCTGCATAGCTTGACTTGTGGTATAAAAGTTCTGGTCTTAGAATGCGCGGGTCGAGGCAGCAGAAAAGCTTGTGTCAGACCAATAGCTGAATATGAAATGTATAGAGGTAGAAGAGTCAGAGACAGTATGTGAAGGGCGTCGTCGAGCTCTCCCTACGGCGTCTTCTTATGTTCGAAATCATGGGTCATGATATCTTCGTTCCTCGATCTACATTTAAGGTAGAATGCAGCCCTGGCACTTTGACTGAGCTAGACTTTCAGACTCTGGTGCCGACGAATAGAACACCATAGTTCTTTGGACTTTTGAGACTTTCGTATGTCGTCGGAGGGCTTGTGCATACCAGGCGTATCCAACTACAAGCACCATGTTTTCAGACTTTGGTTTGGGCCAATGAGTTAATCTGAAGGATATCCTCTCTAATAGACGTAAGGCTTTCCACTGCCACGATTTGTTCCATGTGTAACATGAAGCTACGGGACCGTGTTCAGACATTGGCTCCAGCCAATTATTCTTGTTACGGGGCCAAGTCCACGTCGGACTGTTGGTGCATATGCACAATGCGGACCGGTTGGCGTACACACCAATGATGGGTTTTCAGACTTCGGCTCTGGCCAATGACACCTTGTTGAGGCTGCCAGCTTCAAGCGCTTTTCAGATATCGGCTTCCGCCAATTATGATGAGAGCCCCATGGCGCAGTCATCCCAAGCTGCGTGACAAGACTCTGTCTCCCACGCTTTACTTTTTTCCTATAAATCACCTGCTCTATCCGCGATCAGATTTTCCAACAGAAATTACTGACAGTCAAGAGACCGCTATTTGTCGATATCAAATTAAGCAACAAATCTCAGCTTGTTACCATAATGGCATCCTCTCGGAAGCGTTATTCGGACGAAGAGTGGCTCCAGCATCGAGCTGAAATCAAGCACTTGTTCCTGAACGAGTCAGCTTCTTTCAACGAGATCATGCGAAAGCTCGAAGAAGATGGCTTTCCTGTAACGTAAGTTAACACGGTGGTTTCCCCATCTTCAGTTTCTCACAACACACGTTTTAGGAAATCGCAGCTTGAGTACAAGTTGAAGGTCTGGGGTCTCCGTAGGAGAATCCAAAAGAACAAGACCGAGATGCTGTGGCAATTCGTTGACGGCCGCCTTTCCATGCGGGAAAAGCAAGGCAAACTCAGCGAAATTATCCATGATGGTAAGATCATTATGCCGGCCAAAGTCAAGAAAGAAAGAGGACGATATAAGCGAGTTTCTTTCGCAAGTTATCAGAGAGGTAAGAGCTTCCTACTAATCACACCTATTTTTACTGAACCTGTTATATGCAGAAAACTCAAGTCCTCGTACACCTCCAGAGCTGAACATCTCGGTCTGCACGCCGGTATCCTTCCCAATGACGTTTGCCTGGTCGAGGAGTCTTCCCTGGCTTCAATTTCAGTCCATTTACCCACAACGTAAGGAGACTCAGAACCCAGCATGGTGTTCACTTCGCTCAGACTTCGTATAGTGCCGCAAGATTTCGGAACACGCATGCGAATTGATACTGAGCGCAATTTTTCCAATTCTCTCGGAGATCTTGACGTGTGGGGCATCTTGGATATGCCAGAATCAAGTAACAAGTCAAATGTCCTGCTTCTCGCCGCTCAACTTGGTTCGATGATGCCCGAGGCAGAAGAGGGCGAGAACACTGGTCTCGCACAAGCTCTACTCAAAGCACCGAGCCAAACGACGATACACGAATACCACAAATTCCTTATCTACCGGATCTCTAACAACATGGAGAATGGTACGAGCGATGAGGGCGACTTATCTCGTTGGTTCTGGACTGTCAATGTGCTCGAAACTTCTGGCATCATGAATTTGAACCTTGCAACAGGAAAGACATCAAGCCCAACAATAAGCGCATTTATTGAGAAGCTCTTCCAGATCGCACTTTCTACAATGGATCAATTATCCTGGGACGATTATGACGCCCATGAGGTAGCAAGAGCCAAGAGGGTTGTGCAGTGGTTGCTGTCCTTGGGACAATCTCCGAACACACCGATCAAAGTTTTCGGCGAGGCGCTCACGCCGTTGAAAGTGGCAGTTAGATCGCATGAATCACGACTTGCACTTCAGCTATTGGATTCTGGTGCCGACCCCAGCCTCTCATATGAGAGGTTCAGTGGCTTTCTGGACGATTCAGAGTGTCTCGATGCCTACAACGATGATGAAATCGACCCTATGGCGACTGAAGTCTTCAAGCGCCTCGTAGATTTCGGCCTCTCTCAAGACGAATCAATAGATGGAGATCGACCTTCATCTTTGATGGCAGTCACTCGGCATGGTACTATTTCTCTGATCGATATACTCGTACAACGTGGAGCCAACGTTTTGTACTGTTCATCGGGCGACAACGACGGCCTCAGGCTTCCTTTCTCCAGGAAAGTCAGCGTGCTCGGTTGCGCAGCTGGCATCTTAGACGAGGCGAGAGCAAAGAAAACTGTTGAGCATCTACTGGACCGCGCACAGTCGATCAACCCATATGTACCACGACCGGATTTTATCAAGGTCGACGTTATCATGAATGCTGCGTCGAGTGGTCACCTTGCTGTGCTGGACTTCCTCCACAGCATTGGCTGCGATGTCGTTGGAGCTGAGAGTGAAGGCATCACTTCCCTGCACATGGCGGCAGCGTTTGGCTTCCCCAACGTCTGTAGATGGCTTCTCAGTCATGGCTCGTCGGTTCACGGACCTAACTTATCGAACGAGGCTCCAACTCCTCTGACCTTCGCGGCCTTCGGACAAAACGATGAAGTGGTCCAACTTCTGCATCGTCATGGGGCTGATCTCAATGCAAGCTTCGCCGTCAATCCTGACAGCTGTTCGTGGATTACCTGCTGCCCAAGCCAATACCGCAAGGTATTGAGAGAGGGTGTTGGCCGGTTGGGGAATTGCTTCATGAATCCAGCGGGCGCTGCGATCTTACGGGGCCATTGGGACAACACAACATACAACTATCTGGCCCAAAATGGGGCCAGAATGCCCGAATGGGCCATTTACTACGGCTCTCTCGAAGTTCGCGAGTTTGGTCTAATTGAGGTTGCTCTAAAAGACCACGCCTACGTTGACTGGTGGGGTTTTGATGGAAACACACCGCTACAAGCCGTAATGTCAACGTCAAAAAAAGCTGTAGGGAGATTTTTGAAAGGAGACCAAGCAGAAGATATAAGAGCCAAAGGTGTCCGTGCCTGTATTGTACTTTTAGGCGCTGGCGCTTGTTTGATGGGTAATGAGGTTCAACTAGCAATGGCCCTCAACAACTGCAGTCTGGTTGAAGCTATAGAACGACACGACGTTGAGAGATCCTGCCAGCTCAAGAGTGCCGTTTCTTTGCTGGAGGCGGCTTTTCTGTCCGGCTTCAATGACATGGTACAATACATGTTCAAGAGAAGTCCAGAAGCGTACGACGGAGGCGCCCTTTGTGCTGCTGTTCTCTTCGCGTCAGAGCACAAATGTACGAAATTTCTCCAGAGGCTTTTGCAAAACCGCCAAAACATTGAATGCCCGTCACTTTTGGAAGGAACAGCCATCGGCTTAGCTGTCTTCAAAGGCGAAATGCAAGCACTCAGAATGCTCTGCGGCCACATCGGAATGCCACTTTCAGCAGTCAGTCCTTCGAGTAAAACAATTTGGAACGCTCTCAATGAATGGACAGAAGGACTGAGACATCTACCATTCTGGCATGACAAGCATACCGTAGTCACTGAGCCACTCTTGTTCATAGTTGAGTCAACAAAGTTCAACGCGAAGCTCGAAGAACTTGGATACCGCTCTTGGGAACACTTGATTCAAGTTATCCTCAACATCGATAGCGAGGAGACTCTCGAAATTCGACTCTTCTCGAGCGAGTCCGACATTCGACCAGAACAGCAAAAGGACAAGAGCATGTTATTTCTTGTCAAGAGCAACAGAAGGCTAAAACCCGTGGAGATTGAAGATTTCTGTAAGATTTACATGATTTTGGAGAGAGGAAGAACCCCGTTGCAGCAGGCGGTTGAAGACGGAAACCTCACTAAAATCGATCTTCTCCTCGCCGCAGGCGCTGATATCAACGCACCGGCCGCAGACCACGCCGGTGCCACGGCTCTGCAGCTAGCGGCCATCACAGGACGAATTGGAATCGCAAAGATGTTGATAGATATGGGAGCTGACGTTGACGCGCCTCGTGCTCCCGAATCCGGACGAACTGCACTGGAAGGCGCGGCTGAGCATGGGAGGATAGATATGATCCAGCTTCTCTTAAGTGAGGGAGCCGAAACAGGCGGGAAAGGTCGATTGCAATACATGCGAGCAATCAAATTTGCAGAGCAACAAGGACATTTGGTTGCCGCGAACATGCTGAGAGAATACCGCGATTGGACCGTGGATGACGACGACTTGTGGAGCGAGTTGGAAGACTATGGGTTTGCTTGGAAAGGGCTCGACGAAAGAGACTTCTTCGACTACGACCGAGGAATCGACGTTGAGGATGAAGAAGATACGCCAAGGACGTCAAATGATGAGTTCAGACAGGAAGATGCTATGGCTGAATAGTGTGGACAAGTATGGACAACAGGCAAGAGCGTAGACTTTGAAATGCTGGCGTTCTCTGTGCAGGAGTTGCTGCAACTGTTGCTTTTGTCACACATCAAAATACTTGTGAGACTGGATGACATGCAAGCAACTTTGGCGCAGATTTCTGGTGATTTCTCGTGACTTGACGACGTAGCAGCTTTAGGAAAGCCCTGTATCAACTCGTCAAGGATTCCAACAATGGCGACGAGTTGAGCATCTACATTGACCAGTGCTGGAACATAGCTGTCAGCATTCTATGTCCCTCGGTGCCTTGCCATGCCGAGTGCAAAATTGAATATCAAGGGAAAAGAACCGGGGCCTTATTTACTTTGTGAAGCCGACTCGATGAGGGCCAAGGGCTGGACCATACATCACAGTTTTCGATGCGTGATTAGCAGCTTAAAAAAACGACACCAGATTCACAATTCAGAACAACAATACACTGTGAAGAGCCTATTCTTGATCTTGAACGGTCAGGTATACCTAAGACGATCTACTCAATATCTATGGTAGATATCAAGCTAACGACGACGTTCTAAATAAGAGCTGCACAGAAACCAGAGCACATACCCCGGCGATCAACTCCACGGCAAACCACGTACTTCCCAAGAGGAAACGAACCAGACGATCACGACAACTCACACACATGCCAACCACCGCGCCGTCAAGAACCAACGCACCTCAAAAGTCTAGACCTCACTCAACCGCCTCACGGACAACATCCCGCTCTCCATCGGAGGCTCCCGCCAATACTTCGGCAGTTAAACCCCACAACTTCATACCCCAAAACAGTAATTCTGCACATCACGCATCCATAAACTAAGGCAAGGTGATCAATACTCGCTCTAACTATCCAGGCAAAACCAAAAAAAACCTATTAACTTACCTGCATTCCTTCGCCGATCACATCTCAATCCAGACCAGATGCAGTCTGCAACTCACCTCTAGTTACTCCGCCTTGGGGAAATCTCTCTGTGGCCTTCCCAATCGGGATTCAAAGATATACTGTGTCCCTGTGACGTTTAAACTTGCTCAGACGATGCAGCGAATGACAAAAGAGAGGAAGGAAACAGCTCCGCAGCGGGATGATGGAGTATGTTTCCTCCTTTGCTACACTACTGTATCGCTTCTGTCCAACGTGACTCTGAGACAATGGCGGTGAAGCTGCGAGACAGAGAGACAACGGGGATTGCCCGCGAGGCGCGCCTAATACCCTCTCGCAATAGACTCAACCTTAATTTCACTCGTGCAGTCTGCAGAAGCGCGCCCCTCTTATTTCTTTCACCCTCTTAAAAACTCCTCTTTCTCTGGCACGTCTCCATCCAAATCCATCTTGTCTCTTTTCGAAAAGACCTGCATGTGATTCAGGACAAAAGTGAGGGAAGTAATTATAGTGCTCAGTGGGGCACAGGCGGGTTCCAGGTCCAGGTAGTCCACCGTCGAACACGCCTGCAATATCTAGCTTGCATATGTGATGCCGGTAAATACCTGCAATGAGCAGGCGGTTGAGACAAGGCGGACGGTGGGAACTGGGAATAGAGAGGGCCGCTGTCAAAGCGGGAGGAAAAGCGGGTGGATTGAGACCGGTGACCTACCCGCCATCACATCACATCGCTTGCGGTCTCTCGCGTATTACAAAGTACTCCGTAGACTCGCCAGGCTGTTGATGCCCATGGCCCTAACAGGACGATCTGCCGAATATAGCTTCACAGCGCATCCACTCTCGTCTCCAGCATCATCAGTCGCCCGCCACTTGACTGGTATTCTTGTTTTGAGTTCATGGAGGCGGGTCTATAGTATGAACCGGCCAGCTTATTAAGTCATGGGCAGAAAGGCAGTAAAAAAGCCGTGGGTAATGGGCATTGGCATATACCCTCAATCAATCCCACGGCGGCAGATTGACGCATCCCCCATGCCTCAGCTCGCGTGGTCGGCTGGGCCTTTATTCACTTCCTTGTCTTGGCATTTCTTGTGTGCCATCCCACTGCCACTGCAACCCCAGGACCAGCCAGCCCTGGGGAGGGGGGGGGGGGGAGAACTGGGTGAACTGCCCGCCACTTTTCTGCCCATGGGTTGCAACAGTCGATGTGCTGGTGGATCTTGAACCTCCAAGGCACGATGAGGTTTATTACTACATGTTCAATAAGGTCTTGACAATGCTTAGTCGCGTCGTCTGTTTGACAGAGTGACGAGATAACGAAAGACGGTGTGACGGGCGAGGTTGCACCGTCGCCGACACGTGCTATTACCCCGCGGCCCGCTGACACTTGGTGAACCCCCAGAGACCATCGCGAACGAGAGGGCGGGTGTTGCGTCTACTGCAACCACTCAGCGGAGTACTCGCCGGGGGGCCTATATCTCACATATGTCACTGATATGCTATCGGAAGCAGCGTCGATGGAGCCCGAGGAGTACTGGGAGAACATAATGCCGCGCTTATTGAACCGGGCACTGGCCGAGGTACATCTGTACGGAGGGAGCGTGTCCAAGGACAACCGAACCGGTGACAAACGCGATGAGGGTATCGTTTGTGGTCCGCGTACAGCGTCGCCACGCCGACGCGTCGAACCAACGCTTTGCGCCTGCAATGGTGCGTGCTGCAATTGTTGATAGCGCTTAGTGGAGCAAAACATTTGCTTGACTGATACGGAGCACTTGTGGCACCGACCTGGAAAAGGGTTCTGGCAGTGCTGACGGAGAGAGGCACTGTTCACAGGAGAGACATGGGGCCAACCCAAGAAGCTGGGTTGGCGGAGTCTCGAGCTCATCGAAATCCGAAGAGCCTTGACAGGGTCGCCCGGTGCCGGTGGTTAGAGCTGGTCATAGCTGATTTTTTGGATGAGCAAGCATTGACAAGCATCGCGCACTCGGTGGCCACGGAGAGGCTTTGTTGCGTTTCCTACCCTGGAAGAGGGGGACCGGATGATTTGCTCTCGGACGATTGCTTGCCGGGGCAATCGAGATGGGGTGACACTCGTTTGCAACATGCAGATAGTCGAACAGGTCCTTGGCCCGATTTCCTAGGGTTAAAGGGGGCCAATATGTGCCAGTTGTATGACTGAAGGGGTTTGCGGCGGCATAGTACTGTACGATGGTGATGCCAAAGATTCCGGAGGACGGACGGCATGATGGTGTCAGGCCCCCGGACGAGAGTCATTGGTCAATGCCCAGACCCTGGAGTGGGGGTTCATCCTCGAAGACCAGCCGGTTCGCAAAATAACAAGGTCGTTGATTATGATGGATTATGCCTTTTCATAGGCCTCCAAGGCATGTCCTGGTGGTGCCCGAACGGTGAACCCATCATCCTTATCCAGGCCGCGCGGGCTAAGAGAGCAAACGCGAGAGAACGTTGAATTGTCTATACATTGCTCCCCCATGGCACGGACAGTGTGACTTGTGCATCGTGTTAGTCATGATTCTTTGTGGCCTAGCAACGACATCGCATGGCGGTGGAAGCCGCGGAACTCCGGATCTGCAAGCCGGGCACGGCGGCCAGGACACACTTGAGATGTGACGGCCAAGAGATGGTATGAGCGATGGGAGGGTCACTAAGGTTATTAGTGAGGTTATCTGCCTTTCTCCGTTGCAGATCGCGGACAGTTTGCCAAATGATCCATTCTTTTTCGCAGACATCGCGATGAACTCGTATCTTCTTGTCTGAATACTGCTGGATCAGGCCTACGTGGGCCAGATACGCGTGGTAGACTGATTCGGCCAAGCAAAGATGACTGCCGAAGAGACGCAGCCCAAAGATCAACCGAACTATAAGTCACTGTTCTCCATCGGTGCTGTATGTTGCCTGTCGGTGCTTGACTCGTAAAATCGCAGCTGGAAGACATCCGGACCAGTGACTCGGGAGCCACAGTACCTAAATAGGATCGCTAGAGATGCGGGTTCCAACGCTCTGGGCCCGCATGCCGTGGAATATGTATCAGTACGGAGTACAGATCCTCACTACTCAGGATCATACAGGCGTAGCCGTGTGCGATTACCTGTACTCCGTTTTTCGATTCCGTGGAGTCGCACTGGCGTGGTGACTTATTCCCAAAGGTGGGCGTTGGGCATTGAGATCAGCAGTACAGAGCTGCTCTACCGCGAGTCACCAACAAACGATCCAGTACGGCTTGTCCGAGCCTCCCCTCAAGACCGGGAGCTGGAGAAAGAAGAAAAACAGAGCTGCAGACTACATTTCACGATCCACTGGAAATTGGGTGTAACATGTTCAGCATGACGGTGCGATCAGCTGACCAGCCGCCTCTTCGTTGGATCGCCTTTGGTGATTATCTTGGTGTTGTTTGCTTATTCTCCACACTATTGTTGGAGACGAGGGGCAGGCCCAATGGGTTTGGCACCGGAAAGACGCTGTAACACGACATCCGATCATGCCATCGAGTTTTGATACGTGCTTGCAACGGAGCCTTTCCTGAATGGAGATCCATTAGGGGTTGTAGACTGCAGCTCCATCTTGGCCTCGTCCCTGAAGTCGAAAGCGCGCTTGAGAATACGGCCGCTGTCTTCGTCATCCTCATTTTCTCGTTGTTGTTGCTAGGGCACAAGCCTTTGGTGCCGCAAACGGCGCCGTTAGCTCCCTTCAATTTGCCCTTCTAGACCGAGCCACGAAACGGCTAATGGAGACTGCTAAAATAAGCCATGGAAGACGCATCGGGACCGACAAGTTTGAAGCCTGCCCGCCGTGTACGGAGTAGGTAGTCCCGACGTGTATACTGTCGGTCGTCAGGTAGATAGTGTACTTCGTCCAAGGCGTTGATGGCGGACGTGTCCGCGTACTTTCAACTTTCAAGTATCGAGTGGCGTGCAGCCTTCGCCCCTTTGGTGCCTTGCGGCGGGCGTTTGCGAAAAGTCGACTCTATCTCCCACTTCTCATCGTACTGGCTTGACGCTCAAACATTGATGGCGTTTCGCGACTGTCTTCTTTACTGTGATCTGGGCCGGACCCAAGCTTCTATCGGCCAGGACGA